ACTGAATAAAGATCATTAGGAAGTCCAGCGATGGTAAGAACTAGAAACATCTTCTGTCGATGCTCTTGTTGTTTTTCAACACTAGCAGAAACTGGCATCAACTTCTCATATTCCTCCATGACTGCCTGTACTTGACCCAAGTAAGTAGACATATCTAATTCCTGCTTCTTTAAGTTTGTCATCCACGATATCACATCATAGAAGCGAGATATTTCATTAGTGTATAAGGTACGAGCCTTTGCCTAAACCAAATAACATGTCTGGAATGGACGAAACAAGGGCATCAACTTGGAATCAATAGATCGCCACAAGATGCTTCATAACTGAGCATCGATCTTTGCCCAAAGTGCTATCGCCTTTTCATCTCCTTCGCTAGACTGTTTGATTAAATGATCTTGAACACCTTGACCTTTACACCACAACTCGACAGATGAAGACGAAGCTAAGTAGTTTGAACTTCCCATTAAAGGTTCCGAGGTAATCATAACACTAGAGTTTCCAGAACTCATGTTTCTAGACCCAAAAATATCAAATCCCAAAGACATCGTTGCAAATTATTACCAAATGAGAGAAAGAATCAATCGTAATCCACTGAAACAGAGTAAGGAAATACTGTAGTCGTCGGAATCTTACTGTAGCTGCCAAAAAAAAATATTGTTCACGCCGGAAAAATATAAAAGTGGTCGGAATTTGGTGTAACCTGGATGGGTAGGCTCGGAATTCCCTTGCGAACAATCTGTCCCAAATAAATTTTTCCAAAAAGTGAGTGGAAAGGGCCCCACGCGCCGGCGCGTGGGGGTTCTTCTGATGGAGATATTTTTATGGGTTGGTCGACGGAGGCCGATCTATTTCGTGGTGGTATTGGTTTTTGCACAACACTGATGAAAAATAACTTTTTTTTTTACTGCGGCAAACCTGTGTTTGTCGGAAAAAAGAATTCCGGTTGACTGATATCTCTTCCCGGAGTCGCTGGAATTTATGCACAACGATAAATCTCTCACGATTGCTCTGATACCATGTGAGAAAGCACGTGAGAAAATATATTATTGATATTAGATACTCAATACAATACAAGAGGTCCTTATTTATAGCTATACTCTACAAGGACATATTACTCCTATTCCAATGTGGGACAAGACTACATTATGTACATATGTGTAAACTAACATTTATTTCCGGCGACCTTTTTGCCAATTTCTGTTAACCACCTGGTTTTGTTGCTCAGGGGGAGTCTAGTGGCCTTGTATGTCGAATGATCAGCTTGCAGATATTTTCACCAAGTCCCTCACTGGTCCTTGTATTAGTTACATATGTAACAAGCTCGATACATATGATTTGCATGCACCGGCTTGAGGGGGAGTGTTAGATAGTTATGTGTAAATAGTCCTAGTCCCATATATTGTAGGAGTAGAATATGTCCTAGTCCCATATGTAATAGGAGTAGAATATGTATTATATATAGGGCTCATTGTATCATTGTTAAAAATATAGATTTTTCTCCCGTGCATTCTCACAAAAATATTTCCCAATATGATTCTGAGATTTGAATTTTATTATACTAAAAATGTCTCCCTGAGCCGAGGGGCTATCGGAAACAGCCTATCTACCTCCACAAGGTAGGGGTAAGGTCTGCGTACAAACTACCATCTCCAGACCCAACTTGTGGGATTACACTAGGTTTGTTGTTGTTATTGTATACTAAAAATGTCTCCCATTTTGAGTCTAAGATATAGATTTATTATACTGTGTGTAAATCAAGGTTGTCTCGAGTTTGAGGTTGTTAATTAGATTGTTGCTACATTGAGTCGTGCTTGAACTTGTCTACATTTGTTCGTGGTGAGAACTCTAACTTGAAGCTAGTTTGATATTTGAGCTTGAGTTTGAAGTCTACCAGTATAAAACTTAAGCTGAGCTCAAGGAGCTCAAGGATGAACGACTGAGCTCGACTTGATCCAATTTCCATCTATGGATGGCTCTCATTTCCTTAGTGATTATGCAAACGGCTAACAAGGCATTTGCTTTAGTGAAATCTGCACAACAAAGATGATATAGGACACACCTTCCCATGTGGACAAAGATGCATGTTGCAGGTTGAAGTAAGAAAAGGATAAACATAAGGCAGCTTAGGATTAAGATACCAAAGAAAGAATGTGGCACCGGCATTCAATGAAGTTCTTAAAATAGAATTTTGATATGATGGACTTCTCATTTGCATCTTTTTATCTTTTGGTTTTTGAAGATGATAAGCTGTGTGTGGCAATTTATTTCCACTGGCTTGCTGAACAAGCTCTAATTACTGTGTTTCTTTGTTCCTTTTCCAGTTTCATTTCTTCGAAGATTAGATTCATTATCAATTTGAAGTTTTGATTTTAAAGGACACTAGGCAAAACTAACATGGAAGGAACTATGACATAAGCAAACAACTTTTAAACTTACATTCAGCAAAATAATCAGTGTTATGAGTGCTTAGCACTCGCATGTTCTCTTCAGAAGAATCACCATGAGATGTTCTCGCAGTGACCATGTAGACAACGTTTTAAATAACTTCTAAGGATAGATTTTAGAATGATCTCATCTCTCTTATAGTTGAGGCTTAGTTGTTGTTGTTGACAAATTTTACAATGTAGGTTAGTAGATTAGCCACTTTATTTACTTTAATATTTCTGTTGGTACTTTTATGCACTTTTAGATCTCCTCATCCTTTTCTTTTTAGAATATTCTGGTGATCTTTCTTCCACTGTACCTGCAGGGAACAACAGATCTCTACAACAAGCTTCTCATCAAGGATGGCCGTTAGTTGTGAGTGTATTGAACTTTTGCATCAATAGAAATGTATAGTCCATTATGGTGTTTCAGTTAGGTTTCAACTTTAAGTTGATTCATTCCTTTTATATTCAACCAAGGGAATTGGCCCAGCTCCCCCTGTCATTAACTATCAAGTTGTACATCCTAGTGTAATAGTACCGACTCAAAAGGAACAATTTTTGAGAACTACATTCTCTCCTCAACAGGATGTTTTACCAGAAGTGGCAGTTCAAACATTGGATGAGCTCAACTTTCCTGCCCCTGCAAGTTCTGGTGATTTCAATTGTATGCTCATTCAAGCTGGCTCGAGTGGCAAAGATTCAGGAGTAAGTTGAATACTCAACTAATCATGTCGCTCCTATTGATTGTAGCATGCTGCAATTATTTTAGCCGTGAAATGGACCATGGGTTGCTATTCAGTATTTTATGTTCTGTGAAATCTCTTTGTAAAACTTTGTACATCAAGTTATCAGTTGTCAAAATAAGAGCAGTAAATTAAAACTCTAAAAAGAAAGAGCCTATGTAGCAGAAAGAAAAAGAGGAAAAAACTTCAAAGTATTTGTAAAGCAATAACCAGATTGAGGACAAAATAAAGACTATCCTACTATACTGATGTGACTGAGATCTTTTTCCTGCCTCACTATTTCTTCTGGTTGTCTTCTTCTGGTGTCGAAAAGATGCTTGGTGATAAAAATAAAAGAACCCTGGAGAATTTACCAGTTGACCAGCAAATATTAGCTCCTATAGGAGGAAAGCAAATTGCAGTGCAGGAGCAAGTGAACCAGCTGAGACTGCAGTCTTCAAATGAGGTTGGCCTTAGATCATAAAGAAAGTAACTGATTTTATTTGAACATCTTGAAATTTCAGCAATATTTTAGCAGTACAAGAGTTGATGGAGACATTTGCATCTTCCCCTATTTGACCACTGATTTATTTACATATGTTTTGATTCAGAGGGGCAGAAAGAGGAAAGCTTCACCGAGTTCTCTGGCAGCTGTAAGATAATTTTTGTGCATCTACTTTAAAGCCCTTCATGTGCTGGTGTTTTCATTTCACTCTACCACTGACATCTGCATCTTATTGGGGATTGGACTTCCCTTTCTTAATTTGTTCTTGTCTCTCTGTCACCTTTATAGTCACTTGGACGAATGGTCGTCAACTTTATTCTTGCTCATTTAATATATTCCTGGCATGTAGGTTGGGAAAGGGAAAGCTACTACCGATCGTATTACGAATGACAATATTAACAGCTACTTATCCCGGGGAGATGCTGGTCTGATTGGTGCAAGTAATTCACTCGCTGCATTGAGAAAAAGTATTGCTGCTTGCATTGAATCTGACCGGAAAGGTAGGTTACAACAGTCTTAATGGGTCAAAAAAATTCAATATTAGAAAGGTAGTAATTTAGATAATTGACAACCATTAGTCTGCATTGAGGAGAAGTTTTTCTGCTCTCACTCAATCTGAATGGAAAGGTAGGTTACAACAAGCTAACAGTGATTTAAAAAAGGGAAAATGTCTATCTTGCAATACATTATCCCATCAGGGGTTCTTACTTTTGTCAAGGACTAGTAAATAACTAGTATTTTGCAATACATAATTCCATCAGGAATTAAGGGTGATAGTGTTATCTCCATATTATACCCTGCTTTATTCTTCCAGTTGCCACTAGTGCTTTAGGGACTACTGGAAGATTCATTGCACATATCTGACGGTGTATAGTTGATGTATGATAATTGTACTTTATCATTAACCTCTTTACTCAAAAGCAAGTAGTGATCTGGCAGCTTCTCATGGTGGCTAATAGATGGTGTCATCTGTAGGTTTCTTGTGAAATTTACATCTAGGATTTGAGATCAGGCTCCGTAGCTGCTAGTTATCGGCACAAAGGATAATTGAGTTCTTTTTACTTTGCAGGCATCTCTATTAAAGAGATTGGAAGTCTTCACGCAACACACAGCGAGCTCCTATGTTGCCACTTCCATTCACAAGGGAAGTTGTTGGCTGCTGCTGGACACGAGGTTTNTTCAAATAGGCCATTTAGGATATAAATGGGTTGAGTTTCATAATATTATTTGACGGATATAGGTACCACATTCAACAAGGGAAAGTACAGTGCTAAAGTGACTTTCTAGAAAGTTAGCTTTACTCAATTCACAAAAGATAGTATTGATTTGCTCTTGGTACAAACGCAGGGAGGTAGTAGACAGGTTAGATTCCAACCTCGATTTGGGAACCTTTTGGCATGTTCTACAGGAAATATTATTAATATATTTGATGTGGAGACTAACAGCATCCAACAACAGTTACAAGTAAGATGTTTTATTCCAAATCAAGCTTGTCTTAAATTTCTTATCTACTGCATTACTGTATCGTATTAATGCGGTCTCCTTTTCTCTGATATACAGGGACATGTCGGAGATGTCCGTTCTATCTGTTGGGATAACCGTTCTATCTGTTGGGATATGAGCGGGAATTTCCTGGCATCCGTGAGCGAGGATAGTGCACGGATATGGTGTGTCAGCGGAAGAAAGTGTTTACATGAACTGCGCTCCAGTGGCAATAAGTTCCAGTCATGCACTTTCCACCCTGACCGCGCTCAAATCTTGGCGATTGGTTCTCATGAGGTATGCTTAACAGATGAAGCTTTGAGCTCATAGATAAGTTCTTTGTAGACTTGGCTTGATTATTGTCTCTATATAGTTGCACAACAACAAATGTAACCTAGGATTATTCACATGAATCAGATGTAAGCATCTCAAAACGTGTTTCAGATAACTTTTTAGATGATCCTAGATTCTTTTGATATTTCATGAAGGAAAGTAACATGTCGAGTGTTGTTGCAGTTACTGGAGCTGTGGAATCCAATGTACCAGAGCCACATAACTTGGCCACACCAAGCACATGATGGCATAATTTCTTCATTTGCAGATTCACCTCCGACAGGAACCATAGCTTTAGTGAGTCATGACCGGTATATCAAGATATGGGAGTGATACTTTGTTGCATGCCAGTTTATGCAACTATACCCCGTGTTCGCAGCTTCCATTATTAATTTACTATTACCCAACTATGCTTCTTGGTTTAAGACTTTTACTTGGGACAAAGCAAGAAGACGGTATTCTTGATTTTGTTGAGGGATACACACCATTTACCTGGAATGAGTTATTTGAGTGGCTGTATCACTACAGAAACAGTCACAAACTTTGATTGCATAGTTTCAAACTGTAGTTAATCTTGACCATTGTACTCTTCTGCCCTATTTTATTGTTTGTATTTTGAAATTGAATTTAAAATGTTTGTTTTTGTGTATTAAATACCTAATATAAAAATTTAATCAATGGATAAAATATCACATCAAAATTTAAAATAGAATAATTAAATGTACTTTACGTCTTAAATTGGAATGTTTATAAAATCAATATTATTAGTTAAAATGATATATTTTATTTTACATACTTTTGAATATAACATTATATCTCATACATTTAGAGAGTAGTATTTATTAGGTCTGATTTGGGAATTGGGATTGTTTTAAATTTTTTTTTAAAATTACTACTTATAATTATTCGATAGGATGTAACAGAAATAGGATCAAACGATCAATTCAATAACCTGATTGGGCCGATTCAATTTACCGGGTATTCCCATTACAAATCCCAAAATCTTCCTCATTGCTCTCTTACTGCTTCTGGAGGTTAATTAATCCCAATCAAAAACCCAGCACTCACAAATCACAGACACACACAAAATATGGAGTTGAAAGAATCGAGTAAAAGAGAAGAAGAATCATCAGCAAAAGCAGTACAGGTTGGAGCTTTGGCTCCTGGAATCAACGTCCGTATAGTTTCCCCCCTTCTCCGCAAATATGATGTTTTTAAACTTTAAATTCATCTGTTGTAGTTGATTTTTCGTTTTTGGGTTCAGGGTCATACTTGGTATACGCTAAGGAGTTGCATTTTTAATGTTGGGTTTGTGTCTTGCTGTTATATTGGACTTGGCTTTTTCGTCAAGTACTTTTCTTCTTCTTAGCAGGTATGTTTCAGCTTTTGTTATTCAATGTTGTAGATTTGATTTGCATTGGTGTATAGTTATTTTTGCCTACATGTTAATGTACTTGAAAACTGTCAAGTAAGCTTTGTATAACTGGATTAATCGATTTGGATAAAATAAGTAAATAATCCTTACTTTGGAGGAATAGATTCCCACTTCAAATCTTTGATTTTGTGTAGTACCTGGAATAAGTGATAAAATGTAGAATTACAAGATCATGTAACTAGTTGACAGCATTTGTTGGATTATTTCTTTGGAAAATAAAGATTAATCTAGGACAAAGAAAGGTTTTCCTAGACTCATTAGGACTAATGGCCGAATGATCATCCTTAAGGTGTTCCGTTCCCTCTGTGCATCGTTTTCTCTACCAGCTGCAGAGACACAGAGCTGCAGAGACACACGTATTGCATTTTCCTAGAGATATAGACTGGATAGAGTCAAAGAGTATTGCAGACAAACTAAACACTATTTGTCAGCTGACATGGTCTAAAAATGACTTCCCTCGCTCTTTGGTAGAAGTTATTCTCCTTTACAACTATCTCAAATCTTAATTTCATATCTATTCTCCAACCAACACTTAGACATTATAATCAATCTTTAGTATAAATTTCATCAAAAAACTATCTGATTCGCTAACATTATTATCAATCTATAATCTAAAAAAATTCATAAAATATTTGAAAAACGTTTCCATCGTATCAGCACCCTAAATAAAAAACAATTACTACTAGTACTTACTGTCTATTTTTCCAAGATATTGTCACCATCATGTGATTAATTGAGGAATATAACATACACTTTGTTAATCTTCATTCTGAGAATGAATTTACCTCACTAAAGTCTTTTTATGTCGAAATAGATACAAAAAATGCTTTCTCTTAAATAACATTTATGTTAGAGCTAGAAATTGACAAATCATTAACATCGACATAGGGGCAAATAATAACTTTTGACTTATTCTAATACTTATGATAAATGCAAGAATCAAACTTTACGTTGTTTTGGTGCCTATCTCAAGCCATTCCGATATGTCAAATGGGGTTTGGAACTGCCTTGCTTTGGAATCACAATTGCTCAAATATGTCATATTCTTTCCTAGGAAGTAGTGTTGAAGACATAGTAAAGTCGATAAAAGTCTATTCTCTCTAACAAATTAAGTTTTTAAACGAGATGGTTATACAATTTAACATGATTTTTATTGTTGATACAATCTAACATGGTAACAAAGCAGATAGAGGTCCTAGGTTCAAGTCTCACCGTCACTTATTGTTAAAAAAAAAAAAAAAAAATCACATGGTTGATTTATAGAAAAAGACTCTGACCCGTACATGAGGTAGTTTTTTGAAACATAATTAAGTAAATAAAAGTATACTCCTTTAGTAGTTTAACCATTTAGATAAAGTGGGTTACCCAATTTATCACCTAGAACCAGTGTTTTTAAAAGCGAAAGAGCGAAAAGGCAATAAGGTCCATGGGACGTGAATCGAAGAGCGAGAAGTAAAGTACATAGTTCTTCGAAATGAAGTGCACTATTCACGACATTAAAAAATATCAAATATATATGAATTTAGTATTATAATGATCAAATTGTAATTAAAAAGCTACTTTCAGTATTCAACAAACAATAATGTATTAATGTCGATACTAATCCAGCTCAAAGTTGAGATACAAAGAATTGACCGTTTGTCACTTTGCGTGTTATTGTATGAAGCTCACACATCTATGAAGTGCATGGCTTCACCTATGAAGCAATAATCCATTTCTTTGCATTGTCTCATTGCTTTAAGTGACAAAATGATGTCTTGATAGCACTAGATGATTAAATGCTCCTTAAATGGAAATATGATGTTAATCTTTGCATAATATATAGATGTTATTACTAACTTACCACATTTGTAAGAGTTCATACATGCATGTTTGGAGCTAATGAAAATCTTCCTTTATCGTAATATGCGGTCCACCTGAACATTTTAACAAACATGAAGACATTTCGTTATGGTTTCTATTAAAAACCACTGGATAAATCTTAATAGGCAATCCAATGCCTTCTTTTCAGTATAACCATATGGCATTTGGAACCTATTGGCCTGACTAGTTCAGATTCATACCGCGTAAGGCCCATTTAAAGGGAAAATACTCAGGATCTCTTCATTCCCGGGGCTCGAACCCGAGAGCTCTGGCTAAGGGGGGAGGGATCCCATCCATCCCACCATACCCCTTGGTGATGCAATCCGATGACTTAATAAAAATAGTATCTATTCAACAATAATTAATTTCTTACTTAAGCTATACCATCTTATCAATCTTTTTTGTCTCAGATTATGTAATAAGAGTTTGCATAATCACAATGGCATGACTTTTATTGATATAAATTACTTGACTACCATTTTTTGGTAACTAGCTTTCGAAATTAATTAGTGGGTTAAAATAAAAGAATGTATGACCTTCAAAAAGCGTAAGTGGTTAGCAACAATTAAATCATATCTAAATTAGAATCTCAGTTTTCAGTTGTCATATAATCTCAAGTATTTCAAAATTATTCAATACCCTTGTACTTCTCTAAATTGATTGATAACTCCCTAATTGTTACTCTTTACACTACCAAGAAAATATCGTTTTTACACTATCACGACACTTCATAACACGTAACAATTAGCCTACAAGCTTGACAATGTAGCATAAAAAGATTGTAGATAATATAGTTAATAGATTAAACTACACTGACAATGTAAACTATTTTTATACTTTCAATTCGGATGTGTTAAATCAAAATGGGAAAAAAGAAGAAGAAAAAACAGGGGGTGAGAGGTTGTTTCTTCTTGAGGTATTTACGAGTTTAACCCATCTTGCATGGAATTCAGCTCAAAAATTGCTTAGAAACCGAAATGGTCAAAATTAACGAGTGATTGTCTAATTGTGAAAAGGTCTATTAGATTAGCTCAAATTTAAAAAGGTTCACTGTCTTTTTTTTGTCACCTCTTTTGGTTCGAAGCGTTAGGGGTTAAATATTGGAGTAAAAGTTGTTGTCTATTTGTCGCCTAAAAACGCAGGCTCGGACAAACAATTCATTAATCGTCTTTTACTGTGCTTCCTTCTTAGAATTGGCTTCTATTGTAACTTTGCTTCTGAGCTGCATTAACACCTAAGTTGCTCCGACACGGCAGTTTAGGTGCCGCACCCGTGTCGACACGACACTAGTACGGGTGTGGGTATGAGATCCATATCAGATCTGGTCAAACAATTTAGGGTACTTTGACCACGACGGATGGAAAATTTTGAGACGAGATACAATTTGATTCCCGAATCAAAACCAAAACTATGATAAATTTGAAGAAAATAGCATACCTTATCTAGGAAATTAATCCTTTACTTATCTACAACTTGAGAATAAAAAAGAATTCCACACTTTACAAGCTATACACAAGTATTCCACAAAATTTCTCATTATTTAGAATCTTTTATTTTTTAATTTTTTTATTTTTTAAAATTATTTTTAGATGGATCCCCGTACCCGTATCCGTACTAGGATCCATATCCCCGAATCTTAGAATTTATATTTTGACGGATCCGACCACTAGATCCGCACCCGTGTCGGACACCCGCACCCATGTCCGAGCAACTTAGATTAACACATCTTTATTTGCTTTTTGTTTTTCTTTATGGTACTTTCAATCAAAAAGAATACTTTACAAAAGG